GTGTAAGTCGCTCGTATGCAAGTAGCTAGTCAGGTAGGCAATCCGACTACGTCGGATCGCAGACCATGCACCGGGCGTGTGTGTCTGGTTCTCGTATATGTGTTCAAATCGGCTGTTGAAATCAGTCATCTCGGGTGAAAGTCGATTCCCGAGTGTCGGATGCAGTGGGGGTGTAAGTCGCTCGTATGTAAGTAGCTAGTCAGGTAGACAATCCGACTACGTCGGATCGTAGACCATGCACCGGGCGTGTATGTCCGGTTCTGGAGTGTGTGTGTTGAAATCGGAAATTCGGATTCTGAGTTTGAGTGTCTAGCTATCGTCTATCAGTCATCTCGGGTGAAAGTCGATTCCCGAACGGACAATCCGCCTACAGCGAAAAGTGCTCGAAACGGCCGTTCAAATCTGATAAAGCATACAGGAGGTAACAAAATTGTATTTTTTTTATAATTATAGAGAACAGTTATCAGGTGTATTATGTTAGGCTTCATTGTAATCAATGTAATCATTGTTATGTTTTCGCGGTTATAACAAATAACTAATAAGTCGAAAAAATCTAATTTTCTGATTGGATATTTTCTAAAATATACCTACCATGTATATTTATTTAATTATGAGAATTAAATCAAATTAACAAATAGATAATTATATTGGTGAATAACAAAATTTATTGAAATGTAATACTATCCTATTAAACGTAGGTATGTATAAATGAATACACTATACAATTTTTTGGCACTTATCTTCGTAAGTACCTACTATCATAATATTTTGCTGTTATATTGTATGACTGTATATAATATATGATGTACCTACCTACCAATTTATTAAATGTCATTTGATATTTATGATGTTTTAAATTATTTAGTAATTATAATTGCTTAATTATAATGGTGCATCACTGTGTTATGACTTATGTATTATGTGTATGAAAGTGTGTATGAAAAAATCAAACTTTTTGTCGCATATTTTCATTTCCGTATAAAGTAATAACAACACTGTCCGCTCCCCGATCTCCTCCGCGGAACTCGACTCGAGCGAAGTACTGACGACTATGGCTTATAAATTTAGCGGGGAATGCCAATAATATCCAAACAGGAAGGGTAATATCACTAAAACGGTCCATGAAACGAATTTTAGAAAAAAACAGCAAAAAACGACGCGAGGCATGTATTTATTGCCGTATATAGCGATACTTACACGGTACCTACTAACTTTTCCACGACGCCACTCTTTCCCGGGACTCGTCTGTGAAAAAGTAGGGCCGCGCACCGTCTATAAATTTAGCGGGGAACGCGAATAAGGTCCAAACGGGCCCTACCGAGGCACCCGAGGGGGGTAAACCTCAAAAATGTTGAAAAAAAATTGTGAAAAATGGTCAAAACCGTGAAAAGTGATAAGGATAAAAGATAACGCAGCGACGGCTCCGCAAAAAACGACGCGACGCATAATATATACAATACAATACACGGTACCCGCTCTCGTTTAAGCGACGCCGCTCCTCGCCGGGACTCGTTTTTGAAAAAGTAGGGCCGCGCGCCGGCTATAAATTTAGCGGGGAACTCGAATAAGTCGTCGACGGGGCGGGTGATACGACCGAAAGGGGCTGAAACTCGAATTTTCGAAAAAAAAACGGCAAATGGAGCGGTCATATAGTAGTACTATTTTTTAATATAGTTTATTAATATTGTATTAAACAGTATTTATAATCTGTAGCAGTATTTAATATATCAAGTAGGTACTACATTATAATTATATTGTAGGTTGGTCACGGTAAAATCAAGTATTAATTAAATGTTAATTATTATTTTTTTGCAAAATAAATATAGTCAAACGAATAATAATATATATAAATACCGATATATATAATATAATAACGTGAATTTTGAAAAAAATCGGAACACTCGTTAAAAATGATTAATGTGACCAAAAAAAAAAAAACGCAAAAAAAAGAAATCCGAAATATCACGGGCGCCGCAAATTATCGAAAATCCCGGCGGCCGGGTTCGAACCCACGACCCTCGAGTCACCTATCCTAACGCCTAACCAACCTAGCCACCTACTCAGATGAAAACCGGAGTCAATTCTATGACTCTTAAGCCGCGTCCCCGTGCTCGCGAAAGGCGAACGCCGTTTGGACGGCCGTCAAAGGGCGTTTGAGCGGGCGATCCGACGAATGGCGAACGCGGGTTGCGCGACCGTCAAAGGGCGTTTGAGCGGAGGACCGTGTCCGCCGCCTTCGGACGTTCAAAACGCGAGATTTGCGAAAAAAATCGAACCTTGAGGCGCATGTATATATGTATGTGAATAGCGATACCTACACGGTACCTACTCTCGTTTCCGAAACACTACTCCACCCCGGGACTCGAATTTTCGAAAAAAACGGCAAATGAAGCAGTCATATAGTCGCACTATTTTTTAATATAGTATTTATAATCTGTAGCAGTATTTAACCAAATCGGAATCACGTAAAAACTGTAATATATCAAGTAGGTACTACACGTAGGTTAGTTGTATTATAATGTATTAATAAAAGAAACATGTAGGTGCGTCGGTAAATGTTAATTATAATTATTTTTTTGCCCAATAAATATCGTCAAACGAATAATAATATAATAATGCAAATTAAAAAAAAAAATAACACTTTCGTTAAAAATGATAAATGTGACGAAAAAAAAAAACGCAAAAAAATTGAATTCGAATTTACACGGCCACCGGGTTCGAACCCACGACCCTCGAGTCACCTATCCTAACGTCTAACCAACCTAGCCACCTACACAGATGAAAATCCGAGTCAATTCTACGACTCTTAAGCCGCGTCGCCGTGCCCGCGAAAGGCGAACGCCGTTTGGACGGCCGTCAAAGGGCGTTTGAGCGGGCGATCCGACAGCGTCGGCGAGCGGACGACCGGCTCCGCCGCCCTCGGACGTATAATACCCGAGCTTTGCGAAAAAAATCGAACCTCGAGACGCACGTATTTATGCCCGTATATAGCGGTACCTACTCGATACCCCATCGGTACCTACTCTCGTTTAGGCGACGTCGCTCCTCCCCGGGACTCGTTTTTGAAAAAGTAGGTACCCTCGCCGGCTATAAATTTAGCGCGGAACTCGAATACGTCGCCGGAGGGGAGGTCGGACGTCTCGTAGAGTTGCTACACGCGACTCTAGTCGAAAAAGTCGAGAAAACCGTCGAAACGGCGACGACGCGGCGCCCTCGGCGATCGATACGTCCGCCGGGGCACTCGTTTTTGAAAAAGTAGGGCCACGTTTCGACGTTAAATTTAGCGGGGAACGCGAATAAGATGCAAACGGGAAGGTCGATACGCCCCAAAACGCCTAAAACTCGAATTTTCGAAAAAAAATGCAAAAAACGCGCGCGACGGCGGCGCTCGGTTCGCACGCGATATCCGCCGCAGGGGGCCCGCCGGGAAAAAAGTAGGGCCGCGCACCGACTATAAATTTACCGAGGAACGCGAATAAGGTCCGAACGGGGCCCCCCGAGGCCCCCCGGGGGGGTAAAACTCGTTTTTTTTCGAAATTTCTTTGATTTTCGAAAAAAACGGCAAAAAGTGATAAGAGGAGTGATAACGCAGCGACGGCTCCGCCGCCGCCGGGAGACCGCCCGCGGATAGAAATCTAATTTTCCGATTGGTGAGTTGCTTACGCTAGTTCGGATTTACTCCATAAGCTGCGCCCTCGGGTTCACGTTTTATAGTATAAGAAGATAATATACTACAGCAAAATAATTTAATCTTAAAAAAAAACCTAAGAAAAAACTCAATTTTTACGTAAAACCAATTTTCGACGAAGTTGGTTTTCTTTTTTTGTTGTAAGTTGTAACTTGTAACTCAAACACAATTAATTTTGAATATTTAAAATGTTCATCAAAAGGTTACATTACCATTTTCTATATAATATATAGGTATATGGTATAATTTTAAAAATATTTTAACTATATGACATATATGTTATGAGTTAAATATAGGTAGGTACATTTGATATCTATTATCGATTTATTTTTGTTTTACTTCTATTACCTACCTTATAATGATAAAAAATGTTGAAAATCAATTACAAAGTTCCTCTTCTCATAAGCTGTTATTAAAGATATTTAAAAATATTTAAATAGGTACATACTACTACATAGACATATATTTTTTTTTAAAGTATATATTTGTCATTTAAATTTTGAAAAAATTCGACAATTTTTATATAGCTATTTTTTATGCTTGAACATTATATTAACATCCCTCTAGTTCATACTGAAACCAAAAATCTAAAAATATTAAAGCATTTAAGAGTTTCAAATTTGGACCAGATAAGATATTTAAACGAAGAACAAGGATTTTAGTTAAATTGTTGTAATTCAAAAATATTAACTGTGGGGACTTGAAACCTTTTATTAAAAGGCTTTTAACTACTTTTATTATTATATACATAATATTAATGATATTATACTATACGCAATGACGTTTTCCAAATATTTAGTCAATTTTAAGACCTATTATATAAATATATGCATTAAAATAAATAATTATTATAGCAATAAATATAATATATATCATTAATTCATAAAATATACTTAGTACAATAGTCAATAGTACTAATAGTAACTATACTATTAGTAACCTATAAGTACCTTAGTAAATCGTAACCGTGTCTTTGATCAATACCGTTGTTTTGTATGCAATCAGTGAGTTATCATACTGAGTTCAAATCTAGCAGAAATATTACAGTGCCTTACTTAATGCCCATGTACAGTCAGAGGCGTATTTATATATTTACTGCTTGTAGGCCTGCGGAAAATTGCCGCCCTTAATTATGATAAAATAAAATTTAATTAGGTAGGTATGCAAAACAAATTTTAATTACATTTTAAATACATATATATATATATAAATATATATATGAATAATAATTTAAGTTGAAAAATATTAGAAAAAAAGGAATTACAAAATGTTTGTATACATTCTAAATGTCTTACATATAATAAATTATTTATTAAACGATCGGTTTACGTCGACATTTGGTTTTGGCAAATGCGTCAATTAAATCCTCGCAATTCAATTCTTTTAACATTTCATTTTCTATAGAGAATAATGCTAAGCTGTTTAACTTCTCATCATTTTGAGTGGACCTTAAGTAGTTTTTTACACGTTTGAGGCATGAAAATGATCTCTCGGTAGTACAATTGGATACTGGTACACTTATGAAAATTCTTAATGCAGTGTCAACATTTGGAAATATTTCAATATGTAAAGATTTTTCTCTCAAATACTGACACAGTGTGATTGGAGTTAAAATATTGATGTCAATATCGATATTACTATTCAGTAAATAAGATTGCAAATGTAAGCATTCTGACGAAAATGTATTATCCAAATCATTCGGGTACATTTTTTGCAATTTCTCGGCGGACTCAACTATTTTCAAAGAATTTAAAGATGTAATTTTTAGTAGTACTTCGAATAAATCACAAAACGTTTTGTAGGACTGGTGTCTTTTTTCAAGTTCATTAGTAATTTTATCAATAATAACGTAAAATGTTTCAACTCGAAATTTATCTCCACCACTTAACTCAGTTTGTTCAGCTTTTTCATCGAAGTGTATTTTTTTTTTTTTTTGTCGAGTTATATCAACATTGTACTCTGTAATCTTTGATATTTTTTTAGCTTTAGTTTCATATTCATTAAAATTATCTCGGGTTTTTTGTACTAGATTAATAAGTGATGTATAAATTTGAGAAACTTTATCATTTCCAATTTCAACACATTGTAGTTGCTTATTTGATGCATTAAATCGTTCTAATATATAATTCCAGAAAATTACCATAAATGATGTTTCTAATTTTTGCATTTGATTATAAAGACCATTTGATTCATTTCGCGTAGCACATTTTTCGAAAATGTCATCCTTGATAGTGACCAATGCATTAATAATTTCGTCCCACGAATTATATAATGCTCGACATGCGTCTGCGCGAGCCGACCACCTAGTATTCGATAAACTCTTAATTGTATTAGCATTATGTTTCATATTTAATTGCAAAATTGACCATCTATGCGTTGATGCGGAAAAGAAGTTGTATAATTGTTGTATAAATCCAAAAAACATTGATGCTTGTGAGCAACTTTCAGCAGAAGATATGCCAACTAAATTTAACGAGTGTGCGCTACATGGTACATAATAAACAAGTGGATTAATTTCTTTTATTCGTGCCTGAACTCCACTGTATTGGCCTGACATATTACTAGCATTATCGACTATCGTAGCTTTGCCCTCGACAGTCAGAAATGTCAATATCGTGTGATTTTAAAGTATTGGTAATGGCATTAGTCAAATCTAAAGCTTTATGTCCTGGATTTGAAACAAAACATAAGAATCGTTCTACAGGAAGACCTGTTTCGAGGACATATCTCACCATAAATGATAATTTGTCGACGTGCGAAATATCTGGCGTCGAATCAATACTTATTGAAAAATATTTTGATATTTTTAATTCTTTAACAATATTATGTTTTAATTTTTTCATCATTAATAAAATAAACTCATCACATACCACGTGAGATAAATACGATGTAGAGCCACTACCTTTATTTCCAAAACGAACTATATGATCGGCTAAAAACGGATCAAATTTTTGTATTGGTCACCACTTAACCGTTTTCTATTCGTACTCATATTCACAAAATAAATAGGATAATTAAAAAAAAAAACAACAACGATATAATAAGTAGACAAATAAAAGCGACACAGCTACAGCAGTAAGAACTCTACACTACGCAATACGGCCAGTACGCACAGACTGAATTATAATTAATTATTATCACTTCTCCAGAAATAAAATAAAATATCAACAAAATATTCGTATAGAACCGGCGTGCCGTCTTGATAATATTAGATTATACTATTATTATTATTGCCAATTGTTATAAATATGTTCTATAGACGCTCACTGACCGCGCCGTCGCGGCTTGTATAATATTCCCAATAGACGGCGGCACGGCGCGCGGCGGTAAGAAACTATAAAAATAATAAATTCGAATTCTATTTTAAGCCAATGCCATTGTTTTCAATAATTTAAACTAATCTTGTATGCTGTTGTGGCTATTTTTTTTATTTTTTTTTTAGAGTATTTTACAATAACATAAAACGATATAATAAGTCTCACCAAGTCAATATATAATACCATAATTATCGAAAAAAAAACCCTTGAAAAATATGCCGCCCCTCAAAATTTGCCGCTGTAGGCACGTGCCTATAGTGCCTGCATATAAATACGCCACTGTGTACAGTGTACACTATTGTCACCCATTTTATTTGTTGAATTCGTCATCAGGAGATGATATTTTATAAGTGGAACCTCCATATTTAATACTCATATAATCCCCGTTATTTAGAACATGGCTGATGATAATTATAAGTATGTTGTGAAACTAAAAATGTATTATTGTGGTTAAAGCAATATTAGATAGGTACCTACCTATAGGCTATAACTCCAAATATTTAAATGAACTATTTATTTAAATTTAAACCGACAAAATTAAAATGTATTACTTTCTAGTCCTCTGTTTATTAATATTTTTGTATAATTTTGAAAAGACTATTTTCAATACTATAATAATTTCTTAAAATTGGTCTAGCTCAAGATTATTTGCGTTATTATAAATTACCATATTCATTTTGTTGAATTGTTTACGAGTCTACTATAGTTTATGATTATCGTTGTTCAGGGGCGTATTTATGGGGGTGGCTGGGTGGGCTGCAGCCCCCCCTGAAATTTCAAGAACATCCAAAAAATATGAATATCAATAAAACTTTATTTGTTGGGTAAAAAAGCTTGAAAATTTAATACAAGGCTCCTGCTTTATTGTTACAATAGCAGTTGAAAAATATTAAAAATCCTTAGTCATAGTTTTTTTTATAAGCATTTAAAGTTCGAATCTTGACAAAATACGGAAAAATCACAAAACTTAAAATTTTTCTGAATGTTTTCATTTTTTACACACCAAAAAAATTTGAAAATATTTTGCCTCTTTTTGAGCTATTTAAGGACATTGACAGTTTTCATTTTTCTTAGTTTTTTTCTATAAATATCAATAAAAATTTTTTTGTTGGGTAAAAATGCGTGAAAATTTAATTCAAGGCTCCTGATATATTGTAACAATATTAGTTCAAAAATATTAAAAATACATAGGCTCAATTTTTTCTTATAATCATTTAAAGTTCGAATTTTGACAAAATTTATCAAATTTAAAATGTAATAAATATTTTGTAATTAAAAATTTATAAAATGTTCAACTTTCATAGTTAAGGATTGAAAATTTAAAACAATGGTCTACGTAAATAGGTAAATATATAAATTACTTTATTCACAATAATATCATAGGCTGACTGACCGTTTTCGCTTAGAATCGTTTTTCTTATACAATGATATTATATCATTGAATTCAAATTTTACACCATCCATTACAGTACCTACTGTACAGCAGAGCGACATCCACTTTACCACTTTTTTATTTTATTGTGTGACTATGTTGATCATTTTGTTCAGCCCCTCCCGAAATAAAATTCTGGATACGCGCCTGTCGTTGTTGTTTGTATGTTATAGATCAAAGTAATCCAACACGTTTAACACCGCAGAACTCTTCATACAATCATGTAGATAGTAGATGTGGAAGCCAAAACAAAAAGAGAAAAATGAAAATTTATTATTAAATTATAAATATTTTATACCTATTTAATATTTGTTTTGTTAATTTTAAATATATATAATAATAGTATATTAATATACCATAATAATGATATAAATAAATTTGTGTGGAAGTTTACATTGTTTTTCTGAAGCAAACTTTTCAATTTCGAAATTCTGAGACTCAAGATCTATTCAGTAAACTCGTCAATTAACACATAAATACAATTTATAAAATTATGGATTGTATTTCTTATAAACCTACCTATTGAAAAATTATGAGTTAGGTATAAGTAATGTAATTTACCAATTTACTAAATGAAGGGTCAAATAATGTAATTAATGTAACTCTAAAAAAACCATACCTTAGATAAATGAAAATTTCACCGAATGTTTATACTTCCATTTTCAATATACAATACAATTTTCAAAATATTTTGACTCTTTTTAGAAATATTTTTTATGGCACAATAAAATTTCAATTGTTATTAATTTTTTTTTAAATTATTGTCCATACAAATTTTTTTGCTTGGCCAAAAACTTAAAAATCTTATACCAAGTGTCTTATAAGTTGTTTTTAGTGGATATTAAAAAAAAAAAAAGTTGAATATAAATCAACAATATTTTTTTATGAGAGACATACCTATATTCTTATTTAATTGTATTCACTATTGTCTATTCAAAAACTAATAAGTAATAACCGTAGGTACCTATAGGTATATACTTGACATTTTCACAAAACTTTTTTATTTTATTATTTTCTATACATTAAAATTTAAAATTTAGAATTTAAATTAAATATTAATGGAAATATTCATTAATCATTTTTTAAAGTTTTAGTTCTTTAAATGTCAATACATTTCTAAATTTACTTACCTATCTAGACAGTAGACATCTGCCTACTGTTCAGCAAATTAGTACCTACCTACTTGCAAACTTTTTTATATACCTATAATAGTATAATTTGATATTAGTGTGGGGGGCACTACCTTGTGATTTATCTTAAAAATTATAAATATATAGCCCCCACCAGTGCCGCATTTAGACATTTTGGGCCTGATTCAAAAAAAAAAAATTGGCGCCCTTATATTATACTAAATTATATTATATAATACTGTTATTAAAATAATTAAAATTATAAAATTTTAATAATTCACAAGTAAACAAATTTGGAATTTGGAACTGAAATGATATCTAAACAAATTAAGTACCTACCTATCTACCTACGTTATAATATAATTATTATATACTCATGGGTTAAAGTGAAGGGGACGCAGGGGGACTCAGTCCCCCTACCTCGGATTTAAAAAGCGTCCGCTTTAACAAATTATGATTTTATACATTAGACATAAAATTATGTATGGAACGCTTAAGACTATATGGAGACATTAGTCCCCTCTGGAATTTTTTCCCACTTTAAGCCCTGTATATATCTATTGCAATAATCTTATTAGTTATTCATTTATATTACCAAAAATGATAGAAATGATAATAAAGTTGTAATGTGACAAACTATACGTGTTTCGTGTGTTAATATCGGTAATAACATAATATTCAAAAATACACAATAATTAAAAACTCAATCGCTATAAATGTTTTCCTATCACCGTAAATATAAGTTAATTTGTGAATTTTAATTAACAAATGTTACGTAGTGGCGGATCCAGGGGGGGGCAAAGGGGGCATTTGCCCCCCCCAAACGCCGTGTAGTTGCCCTATCTTTTATATCGTAGATATTAATACTTCTAGTAGAGTTAGGTACAGTATTCAATAATCATATAATCATATCATATCATATCATATCAATTTCCATACGAGAGTTTTATTGTAAACATGGAAAAATTACAATCCTGATAATTTCTCACCAGTCTAATAATAGCACATAAGTTATTAGGTTTCCTTATCATAGTTCTGGTGATTATTGACAGTCGACACAGACGTAAAATCAATTACGTAATAACATAGACAACGTCCTAATGGCTAATGTGTTATTACTTATTACTTATCGTACGTTTTCGACAGTCAAGTTCGACGTGTCGACGTTTCGTGTGCGCTAATTAAAATAATTAAAAAAATTTTTTTTTAAAAAACACTTTTCAAAAAAAACAAAAAAATGATGAAAAATTTAAAAGTGTGTGGTATAATATGTCAAGTGTAAGAGCGCCACACACTTTTAAATTTTTCATTATTTTTTTGTTTTTTTTGAAAAGTGTTTTTTAAAAAAAAATTTTTAATTTTTTATTTTCTACTCTTTAGTTAAAAAATTTTTTTTACGGATTATTGTATTGTCATCCAAGACCAAGGTCTATACCAATTTTCAGAATTTTTCATCTTCAAAAAGTGCCTCAAATCGAGCGCGCAAGATTTGATCACAGACGGACGTGAAACCAAACTTAAAAAAAGTGTTAAAAATAATAAAATTCAGGATGGACAGATATTGTGTAATGTTGTAAAATATTTTGAACTTTTGCCCCCCCCAAAATTAAGCCCTGGATCCGCCACTGACGTAACGTTAAATTACGAGCGCCATCGGTTCCGTTCGTAACCGGGATAGCCGACGTTTGTTTTGTTATTTTTTCTCTCCTCTCTGTCTGTAGCCACTAGCCAAACACACACAGAACCACCAACACGTTTTTTCGTTGCGTACGTTCTTCTTTCGTCTTTTTATTATTGTTTTCTAGTGAAGTTCACATAAAAAAATGGAGTAGTCACTCGGAAACACTTTCATGTGGCGGTGAACGATAAGGCGCGAAAAGCTAAGGTGGTCGGTCACTACAGACATTCCGAATCCATTATAAACAACAACAAAAAAGGTAGGTAACTTAAATTATTAAATTTTC